CGTGCACAGGTCAGCTCTGGCTTTCCCTGAATCTTTGATTTTTAAAAAATATATGTTTATTGATTTCAGAGAGGAAGGGAGAGGGAGAGATAGACCATCAATGATGAGAGAGAATCATTGATCAGCTGCCTCCTGCACGCCCCGCACTGGGGATCGAGCCCGTGCCCTGACCGGGAATCATGCCCAACCACTGAGCCACACTGGCCAGACTGCAGTTTTTGTTTTTATTTTTTTATTACCATCACCGCCTGGCAACCAGGCTCTGAGCTAGGGATTCTCATGCCCACGGGAACTGCTAGGCCACTGGGGTTGAGAGATGCAGCGGGTGGCACAGCTGGTGAGTGAAGGAGACGAGAGCCAAGCAGGTCTGTCTGGACCACAGCCCAGGGCTCTCCCATCCGCCGCACTGTCTCCCATCTCCCAGGGGGACGCTGCTGTGGCTTCTTCTCATTCTCCCTCAGGAATAGGGGAGCCTGCTGGGGGGGCACCTCCCAACGCAGTGAGGGTGCCGCCGCGCTATTTATGTGCATTGCTTCATGGGACCAGACGCTGCTCAAAATAAGCTAAACACACATGTCCCTGTGTCCTCAGGACCCTGCAACCTGACACGGTCTCTTGTGAAATGAACTGAGAGCAGCGTACTTGGCGGGGGGGGGGGGGGGGGGGGGGGGAAGAAGGAAGAAAAAATCGGAAGAATTCAGTACTAAACATGTGACAGAATTAAGAGGGGCTGTGACAGCTCAGAGAGGTGTGACTGGGCTGATCAAACAATACGGAGCCACCAGGCCTTCTCCTGCGGACGGCGGGGCTGAGACAAGGTGTCTTCCTGTCTGGGCCACCGCCCCACTGTGGCCCCACAGGCCTGGGAAAGAAACTGCGAGGGTATCCGATGAATGGAGTTAGGAAGCTGGGAGGGAATGTGGATGGAGGTGGAGGAAGCTGGGGGGGAAGGTGGATGGAGGTGGAGGAAGCTGGGAGGGAAGGTGGATGGAGGTGGAGGATGCTTGGAGGGAAGGTGGATGGAAGTGGAGGATGCTGGGAGGGAGTGTGGATGGAGGTGGAGGAAGCTGGGAGGGAAGGTGGATGGAGGTGGAGGAAGCTGGGAGGGAATGTGGATGGAGGTGGAGGATGCTTGGAGGGAAGGTGGATGGAAGTGGAGGATGCTGGGAGGGAGTGTGGATGGAGGTGGAGGAAGCTGGGAGGGAAGGTAGATGGAGGTGGAGGATGCTGGGAGGGAGTGTGGATGGAGGTGGAAGTTGGCCCATGGAGCGGGACGTTGAGCAGGTAACTCTGAGAAAACGTACCTAAACTGAGTTGTCAATCAAAGATGAAAAGAGAGGAAGGGAAGAGAAGACACGGGATGAGGAAGGAGTTGCAGGAGCTGGAGAGCCTCCTCTGTGGTCTGCATGGGAACCTAGCTCACCGTGGCTGAAGTTTAAAATCTGGGCGCGGGTGTCCTTGCCCATCGGAGGAAATGTACTGCACAACTATGGCAAATGAAGGGAGAATCCAAGAGCTTAAAGCTACCCCTGGAGGGGACATACAGCACGGCCAGGAGGCCAGCTAAACACATTTTCCTGAATGTGCTGATGTTTGTGGCTGGTTGTCAGCTTTTTAAGTTTTGTGTTGTGCCGTCATTACCTTTTTCATTCTAAGTAAGTATTCACTTTGGTTCCTGGGGCAAACAAACAAAACAGAAAGATAAAATGGGCGGGAAAAGCTCGGGTGCCTCTGGCCTCCGGGAAGCCTTTGTCCCCTCAGTGTCATGCCACGTGGCCTCCAGCTTCCCCACACCGAGCTCTCCCCTGTGGCTTCTGGGATGGGCACCCACCCAGTAACCCGGCTTCCTTCCGTGGTGCCCATGTGACTCATGGGAGACTTGCCACATGTAATCTTGGGAGTGCAGGCTGCCCCTCCGCTGCCCCTGCACTGCCGACGCCCCCCTTCTCCTCTCCCTCCTTCACATTGGGCCACACCTACATGCAATCAGGTGACAAAGGTGAGGCCGGAGAGGCGGGTGCAAGCCAGTCCATGCAGGGCTCTGAGGGGCAGAGAGGCAGGACTGGAACGAACGTGAACACAGGGATTCTGATCGAGAAGCTTCGTCAGGATGTTCGTTCCCTGTCCCTGGAGCTACCAGTGCCCGGGACAGTGCCAGGTATACAGAAGGTGCTCAGCATGTATTTGGTGACCGAGTCAGGTCACACAGAGCTCAGTTCTGAATCCAGGTCTCAGGCCTCGGCTCTTCCCAGGCTGCTGGGCTCTCAGGCAGCCCCGTAGAGACAGAAGCCACCAGCTCCCTCTGCCCATCCCCGACCGGCAAGAGCAGCCTGCATCACCCACAGCTCAGCAGGCACGCACCAGGGGCCCAGGCGGGGCCTGTGATCTGGACAAAGTCACGCCAGGCTTTCATGTCTCAGCCAGATTCCTGCCCGGAGCATCACCTGTCACCCCAGCAACACATCCTCGGTACCTCCCTCCCCCTCAGCCTCCTCCCCGGTGGGCAGCAGCCAGCGGCCAGACTTTCAGAATCAGACAGAGCTCACACTCTGCCCAGGCTGCCCCAGCCATGTGCCAAATCTCATTTTCTCCTGCTAAATTGCTTTCTGCTCAGTGTCTTTCCTCCCCCACCTCTGGGTCCCTGAGTAGGGAATGCTGGTTACTATGGTGACGGGCTGGCTTATGGAAGGAACTCGGCTTAGTAAATTAATTGCTGGACTTTGGAGACTAATGGCAGGGCTCTGCCTCCCAGGGACAGGGTGTGGCCTACATCATGCCAGCTGGGCAGCCGGGCTCCGGAAGGAGTTCTGGGCCTGGTGAGGGAGAGGGAGAGTAATGGTGCCCATTGCAGTTTGTAGGGGCTGCCACCCGAGATGGGCTGGACCGCGTGGCGGGCTGCCAAAGGTCTCACATTGACTGTGCATCTAATCTGTGCCAGGATCTGTCCTGCTTGCTTTGCAAAAATTACTTTTTGTAACCCTCACTGCACCCCCTGATGGCGAAGAGACCACCCTCCTTTTAGGGAGAGGCGATGCTCGCTGACCCACTATGGGGCCTCACGTCCCACACCAGGCCCGCCGCACTCAGAGGCATTTACGGTGATCAGTCCATTTACTCCTGGGTCGAAGGCCATTCTCTTCTATATAATTTTTCCCAGAATATAGAAGCACAGGGAACATTTCCAAACTCAGTCTATGAAGTCAGCATTACCCTCATCCGCAAACCAAAGGACATTCCAAGAAAAAGGAAATGACCGACCAAACTCTCTCATGAACATAGATGCAGAAATCCTCAAAAAAATATTAGCAAATCAAGTATGCTAATATATAAGAAGAATTTACACACCACGACTAAGAGAGTGTAGCCAGAGCAACTAGGCAGGAAAAAGAAGTAAAGGCATTCAACTTGGAAAGGAAAAAGTAAAATTATCTCTATTTGCAGATGACACAGTCCATATGTAGAAAACTCTAAAGAATCCACAAAAAGCTATGATAAGTAATAACCAAAATCAGCAAAGTTTCAGGATATAAAATCAACACTCAAAAATCTGTTGCAAATTCTGTACACTAGCAGCCAATAATCATAAAAAGAAAAATTATGAAAATAACTCCATGTATAACAGCATAAAAATACTCAGGAATAAATTTAACCAAGGAGACACAAGACTTATACACTGAAAACTATAACTCGTTGTTGAAGGAATTTAATGAAGGCCTAAATAAATGAAATGCTATCTCCTGTTATTGCTTAACTAGAGACCCAGTGCACAAATTTGGGTGGGGTCCGGCCAGCCTGCCCTGATTGGGGTGGGGGGGCG